TACGAGTAACGGGAATAACGAGTTGATAAGTGTAATTGATGAGGAACACAGTAATAAGGAAAGTGAGGAATATATGTTATCGAATATTTGAGTGACTCGTTTTTAGTGTTTGCCAACAATGGAAACTCGGCTAAGGAGATTTTTGATAATCTGGATAATATTTACGAGCGTAAAAGCCTGGCATCTCAACTTTTATTACGCAAACAATTATTGCCTCTAAAATTGAAGGGTTATACTCCGATACTGAACCACTTCCATTTATTTGATGATTTGGTTACTGAGTTAGTTGCGGCAGGAGCCAAGATAGATGAAATGGAGAAAGTGTCTCATTTGCTTCTAACACTTCCAACTAGCTATGATGGAGTAATAACAGCGATAGAAACTCTCTCTGAGAGCAATTTAACAATGGCCTTTGTAAAGACACGGCTTCTCGATCATGAAATAAAACTAAAAGGAGTTAGCAAGAATACAAGTGCTAAAGTGTTGCAGGGTATAGGCAATCGAGAGCCAAGGGATAGAACATACAAAAACAAAATATCAAAAGTTGTGAAGAAACAATTTCAGAATAAGTCAAAGCCTAAGCTGAAGTGTTTTCATTGTGGCAAATTAGGCCATATGAAGAAAGACTGTTTCTTCTTAAAAAGGCAGGCAGGTGGCAACCAGAATGTTCCTCTCCAGAATAATGTTAGAGAGAGACAGGCTCAGGTGGCAAAAGAAACGCAGCCAGAACGCTCGTTTGCATTTATGATGAACGTAGCTGTTAGAGAGAGACAGACAGAGATGGCAGCAACGCAGCCGGATTGTGCTATTGCATTTATGATGAAATTAGCTAATTCCACTGAAAAGACAGATGGCGTTGATTTTATTTTAGATTCAGAGGCATCAGGTCACCTAGTAAACGATATAACCTTATTTTCAGAGTATGAGAATTTAAATCCAAGTGTGGCGATTGAGATTGCAAAGCGTGGAGAATTCGTGTATGCTACTGCGAAAGGACTAGTTACTCTTAACAGTTCGGGGAAAAACATTGCATTACAAAATGTGCTGTATTGCAAGGAAATCCCGCACAATTTACTATCCGTGAAGAAGATGCTAGATGCTGGAATGTCCGTCGAATTTAATCCGGATGGTATTAAAATAATCAAAAATGGTAACATTGCATTTGAAGGGATATGTAAGTATAATGTACCGATTGTGAAATTTTATTTAAAATGTAAAGTATATACATCGAAAATTTCAAATGATGCAGAATATCGCTTGTGGCATGAAAGATTGGGCCATATTAGTGTAGGAAAATTCTTAGAAATTAAACGAAACAGCTTGTTTGAAGATATTGAACTTATAAAAAACGTACAAGAAAATTGAAATTTCAACTTAAAAATGGTAAATCTATATATTGATAATGGCAGGGAATATATCTCTATTGAAATGCGTGCATTTTGTGTCGAAAAGGTATCACAATTGAATGGTGTTGCAGAGCGGATGATTAGAACAATCACCGAAAAAGCTCGCTCTATGATTAACTGTACTAAACTTAATAAAAGTTTTTGGGGTGAAGCTGTTTTAACAGCAACCTATTTAGCTAATAGGTCCCCAAGTAGAGCTTTGGAAAATATAAGAAAAACACCATATGAGGAAAAAGGAAGCCAATATTAAAATATTTGAAAATATTTGGATCGACGGTATATGCACTAAATAAAGTGCGAAAGCGAAAATTTGATGAGAAATCGATCAAGACTATACTCGTCGGGTATGAGCTAAATGACTATAAATTGTGGAATGTGGAATCGAGAAAATTTATGATAGCTAGAGATGTAGTGGTGGACGAAAAAAGCATAAAATCTACGACTTTAAATGAAAATGACTCTGTGGAAAACATAATGATGTTAGCAGAAGTCATGATTCTCCAATTGAAGACAATGAAGAGTCAGTTTTTTGCATTACAGGAAATGAATGAATCAATGGATTCAAAGTCTGGTGAAGACTAAAATAAAAATTCCACTTGTCTCGAGAATACCGATCCAGTAGTTGAAACTGGTGATAATATACTAGAAAATGAATATCAACAAGTCAGACGCAGTGAGAGGATTAAAGATAAGCCAAAATTATCATATAGATTTTTCGAAAAATGTCTTATGAACACCCAATTGTGTTTAAGTGATATTCCCAATACATATGAGGAAATTAAATTTCGCGATGACAAAACCTTGTGGGAGGAAGCCATTAAAAACATAGTAGATTGCAAGTGGGTTTTTAGTTTAAAGCAAGACGAAAATGGTAATTTATTAAAATATAAGGCAAGACTGGTAGCAAGGGGCTTCACCCAAGAATATATGATGGATTATGATGAGACCTTTGCACCAGTTGCACGAATTTCTAGTTTCAGATTTCTTTTAGCATTCTCGAATCAATATAATTTACTGATCCATCATATGGATGTAAAAACAGCATTTTTAAATGGAACTTTAAAGGATGAAATTCATATGAAGGTTCCAAAAGGTTTAAACCAGTACGATGAAAAAATATGTAAGCTAAATAAAGCTATTTATATTTTAAATAAGGGAGATATAAGTAAAAATATATATATACTATTATATGTTGACGATGTGGTAATTGCCACCACCGAAAGTATGTCTAAATTTAAAACTTATCTTTCAAATTCGTTTCAAATGACTGACTTATGTAATATACGACATTTTATTGGTATAAAAATTGATCGAAAAGATGATCAAATTTGTCTCAGTCAAGCTGCATATATTAAAAATGTTTTAAATTCAATATGGAAGATTGTAATCCAGTTAGTACCCCTCTCCCAAGGAAACTAAATTATGAGAATAAAGAATCATGTGAAGCACCACGTAGGAATTTGATTGGCTGTTTAATGTACATAATGTTGTGTACACGTCCGGACTTTAGTACATCATTAAGTATCTTAAGCCGGTATACTAATAATAATAACAAAGAATTATGGCAATGTCTTAATCGAGTTTTAAGATACCTAAAAGGAACTGTTGACTTGAAGTTATCATTCAAAAGGAATATTAAAGTGGATAATATTCTTATAGGGTATGTCGATTCTGATTGGGCTGGAAATGAGACTGGAGAAGTACTACAGGATATATATTTAAAATGTTTGGAAATTGTTCAATTTCCTGGAGTACTATGAAACAAAAATCAGTTGCTGCTTCATCTACCGAAGCCGAATATATGGCCTTATTTGAAGGTGTTAGAGAAGCTTTATGGCTAAAGTCATTAATAAATGAAATTAAAATAAAATTAAATGACCCAATAGACATTTTTGAAGATAACCAAGGTTGTATTAGTATAGCCAATAATCCTACTTGCCACAAGAGAACTAAGCACATTGATATTAAATATCATTTTACCAGGGAACAAATTGAAAACAAACTAATCTGCGTTAAGTATATTTCCACAGATTTCCAATTGGCTGATATTTTAACGAAGCCACTACCAACAGCTAGATTCACTGCACTGCGAGATCAACTGGGGCTAACTGAACCTTTATATAAGTTTTTTTTGTTAATTGATAATTCACTTTAAAACCAAGACAAACTGGATCTCTTGGCATATATATAAATTTAACAATAATCAAACCAAAATAATTTCTAGTCAAACCATTACTGTTTATATAAGCGAATCTTGTTAATTAATGTTTTGATTGATCTAATTGGGTTTTACTGGGTTTCCCCAATTCTTTGCAGCAAATGCTGGATCATCATACCCCAGAGAAGAAAGGAAAAAAAAAAAAATATTACAACCATTTAAATATGCACACTCGTTATCTTTTGTTATTATATTTTGTTATATCTTAATTTGTATCAGTGTAACTTTTGAGGTGGCGTGTTGAGTATACCAAAAGTCACACTTGTACGCATACACATTGTGTGTTTATGAGAAGGGGATGAACAATGAAGATCTCAGGGAGAGGCAAAGCTCTCTCTTCTCTTTGTTCTCTTCCTCTCTGTCTAAGAACGATTTTGTTTCATTTTTCTGTTTTGCACATGCGTAGCTTACTTGCTTGCAGACAACGAGAGCGTGCGGTTGTGAAAAATAAAATTAACTAAGACTACAATAAAAGTGTTTTTACTATTTTGCAAATCTGGCTGGTGTGTTCCTGGAGTTTGTATAAATATTATTTATATAAATTCTGTAGTTATAAAATATCGCTGTTGACTTCAAAGTAGCGCCGCTCAAGACTAAGACAATCCCAAGGCTTGAGTTATGTGACGCTCACCTTCTCGCAGATCTCTGCCACAGAATCAAGCCCCTATTAAAGGTACCTATCGAACGAATTGTTTATTGGTCGGATTCTGAAGATACGCTTCATTGGATCCGGTCTCATCCATCTTCATTATCCACATTCGTATCGAATAGAGTCGCGGAGATTCAAGAGTGGACAGGTGAAGCTAGATGGCGGCATGTTCCAATGAAACAGAACCCAGCAGATATTGTATCAGGTTGTGATGTCGACGGAATCATACAGTCAATTTGGTTTACTGGACCTGCGTTTTTAAAAGAGGAATATGCAAACTGGCCCCAGAATGCACACTTTGACCTAGATGAAGAAGTCCTATTACAAGAACCGAGGAAGACTGCGGTCGGACTGATCGCTGCTGTAAGAAATTAGGATTTGGTCTGCTTCGGGTATTCGTTTATACGTTCCGCTTCATAAGAAAATGCAAAGACAAAAGTATGGTATTTGAAAAAACTTTGTCGCCGACTGAATATAATGAAGCTTTTCTAAAAATTGTCGAGATATTACAGAAGCACGAGTATCATGAAGAAAGGGAAAAAGTTCGTAAGGGATCCAGAGTTGACCCAAGTCTTCAGCGATTGAATCCATTCATCCATGAAGACAAGGGGACTTGGTGTCAATTATCTTTGTTGCGAGTTGGGGGGGCGACTAGCTAATGCTCCTATATCATACGATGCCAAGTTTCCATTGTTGTTAACAAAACGCTCCCAATTTGTGTAGAACTATGTTCGGCATCTTCACCATTCCAATTTTCATGTTGGTCCACGAGGTCAGGAGGTCTGCGTATAAGTCCTACATTGCGCTCTTCGTTTGTTTTGCGTCCAAAGCGGTTCATCTATAAGTTGTTTCAGATTTAACCACAGATTCCTTTTTATTGGATTTTCAAAGGTTCGCCGAGGATGTCCCCAAGTCCTCCATTGCGACAGCGGGACGAACTTCGTCGGAGCGAGTTGCCACTTCCGGGCCCTTAGAGAGAGGATAGAGGACGAAGCCGACGCGATACGCGAATTCGCATCAAAAAGCGGATGCGAATTTGTGTTCACACCACTGCGGGCTCCGCTCATGGGCGAACTATGGGAGGCAGGTGTCAAAACTGCCAAGAGCCTACTCCTACGGGCGGTGGGCAACGCGCTCCTAAGCGCAGAAGAGCTGGGGACAGTCCTCGTGGGAATCGAGGCAGAGATGTACTCCCGGCCGCTCGGAGCGATCAGCAACGACCCAAGCGACGGAGAGGCGCTGACTACCGGGCACCTACTGACAGGCGGGCCGCTAATCGCGACACCAGCATTCCGGACCCCGGACCAGGAGGGTCTCAGCTGCTTGCGGCGATGGCGGCTTGTCTCGTCAGTCAGGCAAATGTTGTTGATGGTCCCGGAAATATGTCCTGGGCCTGCAAATTCGGGGCAAGTGGCACCACCAGCAGCCCAACATCAGCGAGGGAGATCTCGTCCTCGTAGCCGAGGACAACATTCCGCCCCAACAATGGCTCCTCGGCAGAATAGTCGTCAGGCACGCGGGGGAGGACGGCATGGTCAGGCCTTTTTCGGCGGGCCATTCACAAGTTGGCGCCGCTTCCATTATGTTGAAGCCCGATGGGTGTTCACGGGACCGGTTTTGGCTCAAATTTGAATTTTTAATGAAATTGTTAAAAAAAACTTGGTTTAGTGTAAGTTAGTTTAGGGCGAAGGCGGGAGCACAATAAAGTTCTCTCTCGCTCTCGGCGAAGTCGCCCCGTCTTCGCCAACCTTCGTTAAGCTAGGCTCTAAGTACTCTGGCTAAATATAGAATATTCATTCGTTGAAATTGAATTGAGCCGTCGAAACTTTTTTACTTTCTTTCGTTTTTTCGCAAATTAATCATTTTAGCCACCACAGTTTTTCGGTTTCAATAAATTAGAAAACTCTCTGATTTTTCAAGCACAAGGAATACCAATCTTAAATGATGATACTTTTCTAGCATAAGAAAATTTAAATTGTTCGACCTTCAAATAATTAACTTGAATTTTGTTTCGGATATAAGCCGTAATATCCATTGATGAGAGGTCTAAAACAAAAACATGTTTTTGCTGGGGCACCCGAACACAAGTAACCGTTTTTGGTACAACCCTTTTTGGTACTACAGAATTTGTATCTGTACTACCAGTATCGGCCGGTAATCCGGGCGTGAAGTCCACATGAGGTGTTGGGGCCACTCCTTTATTTTGATCATACAGAGCGGAAGTACCTAGCTGCGCCACATCGGCGACTTTTTTGCGCTTTAGGATTAATTCCGCCGCCTAATAGATATTGCCTGGTTCTCATATACGATGGATTCATCGCAATACTAGCGTAGGCCAGAATAGCCAAGACACTTTGCGTGTTAAATTTTATCACATGTATGGCAGGGAATACTTTTCTGTCCAGCCGAGATAACTTTCTTGCAATTTTTTAAAGAAGAAAAGAAAGCCAGTATCACTGACCACGGCCCACTGTGCACTACAGCGGTCAACAAAATCGAAAGCGCTCAAGAACTTTTTGATGAGAGAGAAAAGAGAGCGACAGAGCGGGAGCGAAACACCGATTAGCTTTGATGTTAGGCACCACGAAACGAGATAGAAACGAAAAGAGAGAGAGAGAGAGAGCGGGATAATTAACCGATTAACTCCGGTTTAAGACACCTCAGAGAGATATTAGCGTTGAAGTGCGTGCCGTTCCAAGAGCGGACAACGACGAAGAGAATGACTAAAAAGGGAGGCAATAGAGAACAATAACAACACACCAGAACCGAATTAATGATAAAAACTTTTTATTTTCTAAACACAAGTTAATCACGATGCACTCGCGAAGCGAACGGAAAGTTCTTAAACACACTTAAAAGTGTAGAAACGTTAATAAAGATTTAAGTAAACCCCGGTGGTTTCAACAAGAAAAATTAAAATTCGGAGCGCAAAACAAAAACACGACCGTTCACTGTGAAGAGCGAAAAGATATTTTTTTTAAGGAGTACGAACTTCGATCATAAACGGATTTTCGACGAGAAAGACAAAAGGAGCACGCCGGATATAACGCAATGGCGGAAAACGAACAAGGAAAGAAAGCTACTTTGGGTTCGCCAGACAGTCGCATAGGGACTCGCTGGATCTGTACGATAAGCAAGGACGAATTACTCTTCTTCGCACAGGAATTCGAATTCAACGGCACAGGCAAGGTGGACGAGATGAGAAGGCGTTCTGCAGAAATCGTCAAAGCAGGTCAGCTCTCTCCATCTCAAAGGCCCGATTGGCCCGATTAGAAGCTGGATTCGCGACTGGATTCATTGAACGATGATGTGAAACGGGTAGAGGCCGACCCAGACCCCAGGTCAATCAAACTACAAGTACCAGGATTTTTCACCTCTAGAGGTGGGAGTCCTGTCAACCGCGAACGAGTCCGAAAATGGGGGCTCTAATTCAACGGCTCCTTTAAGGAGCTGGAGGAGAGGGCTACGTCGTACGCCGTTCCCATAGCCCAACTACCAAGAGTTATGACGGATTCTCTTACAGACTGGACCTCCCGGTGGTTTAGGACCAGTCAACTGCAGGGAGCCACTTGGCCAATATTCCAGAGGGAGTTCTTAGACTTTTCGCCGATTAGAAGATGACATCAGAGCTCGTTACCAACGTGAGGGCGAGGTCTTCAAGGATTATGTTATTGAAATCAGATGAAGGAGTTAGACAGGATTTACGAGAACAGATGTACGTAAAACGTGGCGACTTTAAGACCTTAGGCCAGCCCTTACAGCTCGCAGTAGAGTGACTAAAAAGGGAGGCAATAGAGAACAATAACAACACACCAGAACCGAATTAATGATAAAAACTTTTTATTTTCTAAACACAAGTTAATCACGATGCACTCGCGAAGCGAACGGAAAGTTCTTAAACACACTTAAAAGTGTAGAAACGTTAATAAAGATTTAAGTAAACCCCGGTGGTTTCAACAAGAAAAATTAAAATTCGGAGCGCAAAAAAAAAACACGACCGTTCACTGTGAAGAGCGAAAAGATATTTTTTTAAGGAGTACGAACTTCGATCATAAACGGATTTTCGACGAGAAAGACAAAAGGAGCACGCCGGATATAACGCAATGGCGGAAAACGAACAAGGAAAGAAAGCTACTTTGGGTTCGCCAGACAGTCGCATAGGGACTCGCTGGATCTGTACGATAAGCAAGGACGAATTACTCTTCTTCGCACAGGAATTCGAATTCAACGGCACAGGCAAGGTGGACGAGATGAGAAGGCGTTCTGCAGAAATCGTCAAAGCAGGTCAGCTCTCTCCATCTCAAAGGCCCGATTGGCCCGATTAGAAGCTGGATTCGCGACTGGATTCATTGAACGATGATGTGAAACGGGTAGAGGCCGACCCAGACCCCAGGTCAATCAAACTACAAGTACCAGGATTTTTCACCTCTAGAGGTGGGAGTCCTGTCAACCGCGAACGAGTCCGAAAATGGGGGCTCTAATTCAACGGCTCCTTTAAGGAGCTGGAGGAGAGGGCTACGTCGTACGCCGTTCCCATAGCCCAACTACCAAGAGTTATGACGGATTCTCTTACAGACTGGACCTCCCGGTGGTTTAGGACCAGTCAACTGCAGGGAGCCACTTGGCCAATATTCCAGAGGGAGTTCTTAGACTGTTCGCCGATTAGAAGATGACATCAGAGCTCGTTACCAACGTGAGGGCGAGGTCTTCAAGGATTATGTTATTGAAATCAGATGAAGGAGTTAGACAGGATTTACGAGAACAGATGTACGTAAAACGTGGCGACTTTAAGACCTTAGGCCAGCCCTTACAGCTCGCAGTAGAGTTCGAGAACATACAACAATACTCGAATAGGATGATGAACCAAGAGACGCTACAAACACCTCCCGAAAGGCGAAGTTGTTTCAACTGTGGCGCAGAGGGTCAGCGTCCTCGACCAACCCGGGAGCAGTTGGGAAAGAGAGTACCCGATAACCGGGAATAGGTGCACCCCTGCGCGTAGAAGCCGGGAAGATCGTAGCTCGAGTATTAGTCGCCGACATCTCTGTGTTAGCCACTGTCGATAGCGGGGCCACGAGGAGTTTCATCAATGAAACACTTCTCAGACAGCTGAAGGCATCAGTAACAGTGAGAGAGGTGTGCAGACGGGACCAGCGTCAGTATAACAGGAATCGTAGTCACCAACATCAACCTCGGAGGACAAGTAGTAGAATTAGCACTGCTGGTAATGAACTCTATGCTAGATAAAGTAATACTAGGACTTGACTTTCTTTGTGCGATCGGCACTACGATACGATGTGAACGGGCACGGCCGAAACCACCCGAACCAACGAGAACCACCTCGCAGGGAACCAGCCGGTCATGGCTAATTTACAGGGGCTTGGGGCAGAAGGGACCCAAGAGGGATCTACCTCCGACATGAAAAACGTACGCAAGGCGAATTGGGAGATAACGGAAATCAGAGAGAGGACCGAGAAACAAACGGGAAACGAGCTGCAAGAAATAGAAGAAACACAGGAAAACCATAAAGACTTCAGACACTCAACCTACCCATTAATAAGGAGAAATGCTCATTTTTTAAAAGAAAACTCAAGTATTTTGGCCACATGGTAAGCGAAGATGGTATTTATACAGACCCCGATAAAGTATCAGCAGTAAGGGAGTTACGGCCATTTACCTCTCTGAAGGAACTGAGACGATGTCTAGGTATGGCATCGTGGTACCGTAGATTCGTACCGAACTTTGCGACGATCGTTCAGATGACCAAGCTCCTAAGGAAGAGCGTTAATGGCCTACATCAGTCGCCGGCTAGAGAAAGCTGAAGAAAATTATACCACAAACCGCGCTGCTATCTCGACCTCGACTAGAACTAACTGGCTAAAGTACAAAAAGTACGTAAGTTCCCACATTGAACAACACCACAGTTAAACATAGAGAACGACATCGACTTCTGTGCTGATGCCCTGGAGTCAGTACTCGTGGCAGCAGCCAAAATCTCAAGACCAGAAGAGACAATCGTGCGTAGCAACCAATACAAAACTAATCTGCAAATCGAACAACTGGTTCGGGAAAAACGACGTCTACGACGCGTTTGGCAATCCTGCAGATCGCCCCATACGAAGCAACTCTATAATGATGCCACCCGCAGACTCACCAAAACCCTCAAGCAAAAAGAGGAGCTTGCGCAGCGCCGGTACATCGAGAAACTGTCGCCGACCAGTACAAAGCATCCTTTGTGGAGAGCTCACCCAAATTTAAGCTCTCCGATAGAATCAGTCACTCTGATTAGAAACTCCTCGGGTACTTGGGCCCGCAGTGACGAAGACAGAGCCGAAACATTTGCCTTACACCTACGAAATGTATTTCAGCCGAACGCCGCCACAAACTCTCTTCAACTACCGCCGCTTAGCTCTGAAATTGCAATTAACCCGATTTTGTTTCAAGCACCTGAAATTGCTAACGTCATTAGGAAGCAAATAAAATCGAAAATGGCTCCAGGGGGCGACCTAATAACCCCAAAAATGATAATTGAACTTCCAAACTGCGCAGTGGATTTTATATGCAAGCTATTTAACGGGATTACAAAACTTGGCTATTACCCCAAAAAATGGAAAAAGTCCGTGGTTATAAGAAAGACCACACAATTCCCTCATCGTACAGGCCAATAAGGTTACTATCGTGCCTGTCCAAATTACTGGAAAAATGCCTGCTTACGCGCATTTCACCATATTTAAGAGAACAAAACTTAATCCCGGCACATCAATTCGGGTTTCGTGAAAGCCACGGAACCATCGAGCAAGTCAACCGGATAACTTCAGAAATTCGTACAGCCTTCGAACATCGGGAATATTGTAGTGCGATATTCCTCGACGTCTCTCAGGCATTCGACCGAGTGTGGCTTGAAGGCCTTATGCATAAAATCATAACATTACTGCCAGAAAACACTCATAATTTACTTAAGTCGTATCTCTACCTCAGAGTCTTTGAGGTTAGATGCAATACAACGACATCCAACGAGTATAACATTGAAGCCGGAGTCCCACAAGGTAGCGCCCTGGGCCCTACCCTGTTTGTCCTATACACAGTAGACATCCCTACGAACGAGAGGCTGACTACGTCCACATTTGCTGACGACACCGCAATCCTGAGCCGCTCGAGATGCCCAACTAGAGCAACAGCT